GGAAGTGCAGTGTGTTGCTCTCTGCGCTGTGTGGAGAGAAAAACACTGTATGAACTCTTGATCAGTGCTGGAGGTATTCAGTTAGTATTGAGCTTTGTTATGTTCCGGTTTAGAGGTAACCGCGGGGGACCGTAGGCGTCCCGGCATTATCTGGGCGCTAAAGAAAAAAATAGTGCAGCAAGGTGCTTGAGGACTGCGGGGACCAAATCTTACGGATTCAGGAAAACCAAATTCAGTGCTTCATCTGCATACCACATTCATCGAAATTGGTGAAGAGACCGTCGAGAAATGCTCGACGCGACCAAAATTGACGCGTTGTTTGGTCTTGTCCGCTTCGGGGAAATGATGCCGGCATCCCGGCTCGAGCCCTTGGTCCCTTGAGCGCAAACTTTTTTTTTTTTTTTTTGCGTTGTGTCATTATATTTGAAAACAGCAATAATTAGTCATGCACATACAATATATCCGGTTCTAAGACCTCTGCAGTTATGCACGAATTCTAAGCATCTACAATCCACACTGTGCGCAGTTTAAAACCACCTACTCCGCGCGCAAGCTATCTACGCTCCCTAGCTCGATCTTATCCGCCTTTGTCGGTCTCGGTTTCGGTTGCAACAGCAGGCCGGGGTGCGCAAAGTTGAGCGTGAAGATGGCAAGGACGACCATCCCGCCGTCGAGAACATTGAAGTACACTTCCGTGTGGATGATGGGGCCGTCCCACCCTGCTGAGAGCTCGATGATCCTATAGACCGAGCTGTAATTAAATCCATCCATTAGCACTGGTGAATAATCTCCAGCGAAAGATGAAAGCGCACCGGACGAAGAGCGTGACAGTGGAGAGCGCGAGCGCAGCGAGCATGAATTTAAGGCGGGTGGTCAGCACACCGCGGCGGCTCGAGGCGGAGTGGATGGGGCGGATGGGGCGATCGCGAAGGTAGCGCTGCATAAAGTCGCAGGCGAGCGTGGAGAATAGGATTATGACAACTGAAAAGATCAATACGCTTGATTTGAGGGGAAATTGAAAATACGGCGCGTACCGAATTGGAATGCGATCCCGCCGAGCATAACGTGCGCACCCTGTGTGAGGGGCTAGTAAGGCCTGCAGAAATCATCTCAAGATTGAACAACGCACCACATTGGCGCCAGCGAGATCGTCCGCGCTCGAGGCCATGCCACCGCCAACGCCCTGTACCACAAGCGCAGTAATGTCCTGCGGCGCAAGTTAGTTTTGTAAATAGGGGGTGGGTATGGAGCACTAACGCAAGGTAGGAATAGGATCGTATCTGCAGGCCGGATGTTAATCGACAACTCACGAATAATCGAGGAGAACGTACACCACTTGGGCGTGAGCCGCGAGTAGGAGGTGCCGAGCTGTAGGACGATGCGCGAAAAGATAATGAAGCTTGCTGCCAGCAAAGGAGTGGGAGCAATGATCGTCGTGGAAACTTGAATAAGAAACGGGGTATCGGCGGTCGGCGTAATGGAAGACCACAACCTGCCACCCCAGCCAAGCAGCTCGCCGATGCCACAGAGCGCCGCCGTTGGGAGAAGCCACCATGTGCGATAGTATGTCGCCTGTCCAATGTGAAGTACTGGTGAGAATAATTAATATTCTGTAAATGAATGAAGGGGCGCTGCGCTTAACTGGTGCTGATCCCATACAACGCAAGGAAAATGATGGCTATGGCCTCCTGTGGTATGTATCCGTAGTGTTCGTCGGCTGCGGCCGTCGCGTCGTCCCGCTTCGCGAGTCCAGAAAAAGCGGCTACTGGGACGCAAGATGTGAATATGGCACAGGAGGATGAGCTGAAACCCTACCGAGATGGATGAATCTAGTCATTCTATGGGAAGAGAGGTAAAAAATAGTGAGAATGGCCAGGCAAACCGATCGAGTTTTCAAGGTCGACTAGTAGCCGCACTACCGAGGACTTGACAATGAAGTGATGACGCGAGACGTCGCATTGCGGCCCAAGCGATGGTCATCAACTTAACTTCTACGGCATTCAAAGCCGGCTCCGCAGCAATCCTGACGCAAGATTGACTTTTGGGGAAGTTTCAGTCCAAACGCAGCCATGGGCTGTGTTATGAGTGCTACCGCCGATATCAGCATGTGTGATTGCGATTCCAGAGGGTCTCAAAACAGATGGCGGCGAATATTGAAGGTGGAATGTTACAAGTACTTTGAGAGAACAAGGTTGCCATTTTTGAGAAGGTGACATTGCCCAGAGACCGCAGGATCCGTCGTCAAGTGAGCGATACCTGAGGAGATGCACCACAACACAGTGAATTCAGCGGATACTCTGGAAGGCCTGGCACTGCAAGGAGATCCAGAAACCGTCAACTGAGGGCCCGAGACAGGTCACAGACTCACAGCCACGCGCCTCCGAGGAATGTGCCCGTGTTTACTACCTGACTCCAGGTCCGTCCGACTCCGAGTCTAACCCCAGACACGTCCAGAGGAATTCAAAGCGCTTTAACCAGCTTCAACTCCAGCGGAGTGGCTTCTATCCGACGGAGGACCTCGAGTAAGTATGTCCGAAGGGAGGAGGATGTTTGGTGATGCTGACCCTGATCAGTGTTGATCAACTTGATCGCAACAGTTGTTTAGTCAACTTTAATCGTTTCGGCCAAGTTTCGGCGTTTCTATGGAGGTGGGAGCAATGGTTCATTCAAGGGCTCAATGAAGTAGATCAGGGTTCTGGGGGGGTAACCGGAGCGTGATTGCGAGCGCAGTGAGCATCTCTACTCTAAGCACGTGACCTGCAGAGGGCTGGGATATGCTAGCAAAGCGGGCACAAAGACTCGCACGATATCATTTATGTAATATCCGTGATGTTACGTCTTCGAAGCCCGAGCGATGTTTTTCGGCATAACATGGCCAAAGACCCCTGAAAACATAGATATTTCCAAGTTTCCCGACATTTGGGGCTTATTCAACGCTGGGGAGGGGTACAGCACCTTCTAAATCATGCATTCTATCCTCCCCAGCTATTCACTTGTTTTCGAAGCATCAAATGTTCTCAGTAATGTCCTTTAGGCCGTAAATGTAAGTTCAGATGGAGATTTGAGTCCAAAAAATCGGACACGGCAAGAAAGTTGCAGAAAGGCAGCCAATAATTATCTGAGGTTTTCTGACTACAACAAATCTTACACATGGCATTTGCCATTTCTCGTCGACGGTCAAAAAAGAAACCTGGTCGAGGTTTGAACCTTGAAGCACTGGGTGCTGCATAAAAAATAGTTAAAGACCTATTCTTAACCACTACACAAAGCGACCAATCCTGAGATCTAATGGCACCTCACTTTACGTTGCGAGGCAGGCATGAGAACCCAAAAAGGAAACAGAATTTCCGAGCGGAAACCCACGTGGGCTCAATACGTGATGGGCGGCGTGGGAGTCTTTGTGCCCGCTCGCCGGCGCTGGGATATGCAGTAAACAAGGACAAATTCTTATGTGGGTGGCTGACGGGTCCTCGCAGAAAAAAGGGCTTCAAACTCATTCAATCCGAGAGATATTCCTCCCCAGTTTGTTGCAACGGATGGGGCTTTCTAAGCGGGTTTGAACGGTGCCCATCTTTCCGGGCCTGCGGTGGAAATTGGAGGTCTAGACCATGGCAGTGCTGAATCTCTGCGCGAGCACCCCGCGCTTCGGCGGATCCATATTAATTTAAGACTCCAGTCTATATGCACTTCAGGGCTTCAAACTTGGTGTGGGGCGAGGTGGGGGCCGACAAATCTCTGGCCGACCCGGATTGGTAACGAGAATCGGACATACATAAGCATCTGTGAACCAGCAGGTTTCGAAAGGAAAACATGGCATCCCGTAAACCGTAATTCAAACGGAGTCTAATCAATGAAAAGAAATTAAGATTCCGAGGAGCCCGGGCCCGTCATCGGGTTGCGAGCCCGGTGGCGACAGTATAATTTATCACCCGCGCTATCACAGAGCTCGTTCTAATCACACTGGTCAAGTCCAGCGCCCACGCAAAGCACACCCACAATCCACCGATTAGTGATTTGAAGGGCTCGGCCCAGGCCCGCAAGCCGAGCCGAGCCGGGCCCGGGCTTGACCAAGCCGGGCCGAGCCCGCTGCAGGGCTTTGGCGGGCCCAGGGCTCGGGCTTGTGGAATGCCAGGCCTGCCAGGCCCGGCAAGCCCGGGCCTAGATATACATTTATCTTCCGAGTGCGTTTGCCAACAAACTATACCAAACTGGCTTAAAATTCATCTCCGTCGTCCCTGCAGGCAAGAATTTTACCTGCTGTGTGTCTAACCAGGTACCAATCCTGCTGCCCGCCATTATAATTCCGGTATTTTGTCATTTGTATACACACCCTCTCCCTATAAAATGTGCCCAAGAAATCTATCAGCGATGTCCTGTTCCCGCGATAATCCCAACCCCGCACTTATCGTAAACGGCCCTCAACAGCGGAAGCAGGCACCCGTGCTCAACAATCCCAACAATGGTACGTGCAGCTTTCTGCTTTGCACTATCCTACTTAGCTGTTACATTTGATAGACGACGACCCAGATAATTACGACCTTCTTCCTACCATACCTTCTACAGACACATAATTTACATGTACAGTCTAGCATAATGTTTTGTTTATTTATTTTATATGCTATGAGAAAGCCCGGGCTTGGGCCCGGGCTCAGGGCTTCAGGCCCCGCACCCAGGGCTCGGGCTCGGGCCTGGAGAATCTCAAGCCCGAGCCCGCCCAAGCCGAGCCCGAGCCCGGGCTTTCAGGCCGAGCCGGGCCCTGCAAATCACTACCACCGATCAAAATGTGTTGTCCCTTGCTGCAGATAAAATACCAGAACCAGCGGTATGAGGTTTGTCCGGCCCAGCGGGCAGGGATAGTAACCCCCATTAGCCACAGCGTAAAGAGTACCGGGTGGAAGTGGGCATGTAAGAAAATAAGCTGAAAGGGGCGCATTCGAGGACGTGATCAAATTAAGGGCAAAATGGGCGGCGCTCGAGTAGATAGGAAAGGAGCAAAATGATTCCGGATCGGGGAATCGAACCCCGGGCTGCCGCGACCACACATTACGTAGCCGTGCTGAGAGGCGGCAATGTTAACCCCTACACCAATCCGGAGTTAAAGACAAGGTTGGAGAGGAGAATATGTTGACCAGAACGAGAAACTCTACCATAAGTTGACTTGGATCATTTTAGGCTTGGTTCAAGTCAAATATCTATTTTTTGAGGCTTCAAAATGTAGGCCATCTTCTTGGCTGTCCATGGATTTCATGCAGGGTGAACCACACTTTGCTGTGCTCAAAAATACTTAGTAAATTGATGCAGGTTGAACCACACTTCGCTGCGCTCAAAAACAGTTGGTAAATATTGAGGCAGGTTGATGTAGAATTTTGTGTGGTAGAATGTAGAAGCGGAGGGAGAGAAGAATAAAACAATAATTTATTCCAAGATTTACGAGGGTTTTTATACCCTAGAGAACAATGTAGCATATAAAGATAAATAGCTACGTTGAACAATGAAGTGTACAATGTTTCAGTCCAGCTGAGACGTGTTTCACAAGACTGCTGTGCATCTCCATGCCAGCGTTGCAATGGCCATGTAGGTGCACATATGCACGATGTGTCAGCTTGCTAATATTCCAACACTCCCCCTCAAGCCGAAATTAATCCCAGCGCCTGAACAAGCGGCTTGAACTTGTAGGCAGAAAGAGCCTTGGTGAGAATATCCGCCGTCATCTCGACCGTCGGGCAATATACGACTTCGAGAGATCTGTCTTCAATTTTCTCCCAAATAAAATGATACCGGATGTCGATGTGCTTCGTGCACGCGTGAAACTGACCAAGTTTGGCGTGCGCGAGAGCGATAGCCAACTGGTTGTCGTTGTAGATGATGAAGGGGAAGGTGATAGAACCAAAGAGTTCGGCCATGAAGTACCGGAACCAAATGGCTTCCTTCGTGGTGTATGTGATGGCGACATATTCGGCTTCCGTTGTGGATAAGGAGACAATCTCCTGCTGTTTCGACGACCAAGAAACTGCGGCGCCATTCAGAATGAATGCGTAGCCTGAGACAGCTTTTCGGTTCTCGATTGACATCCCATCAGCGTCGGCAAATATATTGAGGCCGAGCGTGGAGTCCGATGCACTGTAAACGAGCGCAAAATTCCGAGTTCCCTTCAAGTACTGGAGTACACGCTTTCCAGCGTTCCAGTGTGGTGGTCCAGGATTATCGATGAAGCGGGATAGAACACAGACTGCAAATGCTAAGTCTGGTCGAGTGGCTGTAGCGAGCCAGACAAGTCCGCCGATCAAAGCACGGTACAGGATATTTGACATCTCTGCGGTCGCTTCCGGTGTTGTGGGACACTGCTCGCGGCTAAGTTGAACCGTGGGATTAAGAGGTACGGAGACTGATTTGCAATCAGCCATGTTGAATTTTCGTAGAAGGGAGTCAATGTAGGTTGTCTGGGACAGCACCAGCGTGCCCTTCTCTCGATTACGATTGACCTCCATGCCGAGGAGCCAGTGGATTGGTCCGAGCATTGTTATCTTGAAAATATGTGCTATCTCCTCCTGAATTGTGTCAATCAACGCGGGCGAGTTCCCCGTGATGGTACTGTCATTGATGTGGATGGCGAGGAGTGCAATTGCATTGCCTCGGACGACGTGGTAGACCACGTGATCGGAGTGGAGTGGATGGATGCCGAGTGTAGCGAGAGCTGCTGTTAACTTCTCGTACCACTTGCGGCTCGATTGTTTAAGTCCGTAGATTGTACGTCGGAGTCTAATGACATCCTGCGCATTGCCGTTGGTGTAATATGGTGCTTGCTCCATGTAGATTTCTTCATCGGCTGAGAATTCGCCGTTGAGAAATGCAACGGAGTAATCAAAGACTTTGATGTCCCAATCAAAGCGCGTCGCAATGGACAAAATTGTCCTGAGCGAGGATAGCTTGGCGGTTGGTGAGAACGTCTCGAAATAATTGACGCCTTGTACTTGGGTAAAGCCTCGAGCGACGAGGTGTGCCTTGTAGTTGTCAATTTCGCCGTCCGCCTTGTGCTTGATCCGGAGCGCCCACTTTGATCTGACAACGTTTCGGCCGATTGGACGTGGCACAGGCCCATCTCCGAATGTGCCTGTCCGCTCCATCGCATCCATCTCTGTATCCATTGCCGCCTTGAAAAGCAGCCAATCTTCATGAGCCATTGCCTCCTCAACCGTAGGTGAGTCTGACAGGTCTCCCATGCCCACGAACACATACTCCAGCCCAATACTCTGTAGCTGTGAATCATCGTCTTCAAAGTCCGCAAAATGTGCCGCTCTGCGCGTTCGAGTGCCTTCGATTACGTTCCTCGGGTCGATTGCGCTTGAAATGTCGCGCGGCGCTATCAGAGTTGTCTTGGTGTTTCGCGGTGGGGTAGATGGGGGTGTGGTGAGCGGAGAAGGCAGGGCTGGTGCACGCGGCTGAGTCGATGAGGGCTGCTGGGTCATAGCAGGTGTGTGCTGAATGCTTTCCTGATTTTCTTCAACTCTGACATCTGCATTCTCCCCCTCATTCAGTACTCTGTGTATTCTGCCGCCCCATTTTGCTTCGGCGAATTTAACACTTCTTTCCACACAAATGGACCGTTTCCCTGGGTAATAAATCCGATGTCCATCGATGCTCTCTTGGTCGTAACCTAGCCACCTGCCCTCGCGAGTTCGTCCATCAAGCTTCCCGTCGTCCTCGACGTGAACTGCAACTTCGCAACCCCATTCATGGATGTTACGCAAGTCCGGTTTCTTCTTGTGGAATGCCTTGTACGGCGTGCGGCCTTGAAGAGATTTCGTCGAAGTCCTGTTCTTTAACCAGACAGCGTGCTTAAACACCTCTCCCCACAAATTCCTCGGCAAGTCTGCCGCATGTAACATTGCGCGCACTTTCTTGAGGAGCGTACAATTGAGTCTCTCGGCGACTCCATTGTGCTCGGGGGTGTCGTGAACAGTTAAACGGCGCCGGATTCCCCTGCTTGCGAGGTAATTGTCGAATGCGTGGCTTTTGTATTCACCACCGTTATCTGAATGCAAGATCTTGATCTTGATTCCATGTTCCGTTTCCCAGCGGGCATCCAGATCTTTAAGAGATTGCAATGTCTCGTCCTTGGTGTGGAGCAGCATCGCCACCGTGTACCGTGACGCCTCGTCCGTGAACGACACATAGTATCTCTTGTGCTGCGGCGTCTCGATGGTGGCGGGTCCCCAAACATCGGTGTGTACTTCATCACCGACGTTTCCGGTTGCTTCGCGTTCTCTAGCCTTCGAAATAGGCTTGCGGGTCATCCTGCCGTGCAGGGATGACTTGCATTCCTCCGTAGAGGTAGGTCCAGTTTCGTCGAGTTCAATTCCTTCCACCAGCTCATTTTTAACCAGCTTCTTTGCTGCGTCAACGGGGAGGTGCCCCATCAATCGATGTAGCTCTTCAGGCGTCGCGAGGATAGGTGCGTCCGAGGCTATGTTCGCATTTGGCGGTGGTGGATTGGAAACCCGAACAGTGTAGAGTCCGTGAATGGGCGGGATGGCACCGATTTGCTGGTGTCTCCCGTCGAATATACGGCACTCCTTGTCGCGGAATTGGACTGCGCAGCTGGCTTGGGCGATGCGACCGATGGATATGAGGGTAGGACCGAGCTTTGGTACGTACAAGACGTCCTTCGCGAGGACTCTCGTTGACTTGTTCGCCCCATTTGGCACTTCAACATGCATATCCCCCATTCCAATAGCGTTGAGCCTCTGATTGTTGGCTGCGATGATTCCTCGTGGCTTAATAGCCCGATAATTCGTTAAACGATGCCGTGAGGGTGTCATGTGAGCTGAGGCGCCCGAATCGTAGATTTCGAGGCCATCTTTGGGAGTGGCGGCGGTGAACACGGCTTCCGAGGTGAGTGATGTCTTCGCCGAGTGCTCATCAATTTTCTCAACCTTCTCAACGTCATCAGCTTCGTTGTCGCTGTCCGGCGCGTCCATTAACGGTGGTAAGTCCGTATATTCATCGTCCGACTCCTCCTCGTCCAGTTCATCAAATTCAACGTAGTCCTCCGGCTCGAACGATGCTGCCATCCACGCAGCATCCAAATCTTTGCCCGCTTTTGCAGCGTTGGCTTTGCCATGTCCCTTGCAGTGAGGGCTTTGGCTTTCCTTCCCTCCTCCTTTCGCTCAAGAATCCTCTGCCATATGCCCCTTCTTGTGGCAATTATAGCATTCCATCATCTTCTTCGGCTTAAACTTGCCGCTGTTCCCATAGAATGCGGCCTCTTTCCCGCCCTTTTCTGTGAGCCTGGCCGATTTCTGGTCGGCTTCGTCGCTGATGCCCTGTAGGACAGTGTCGGGATCGAGTGTCTTGCCAAGAAGCGTGGCGGCGCCCGTGAGGGCCGATAGGTATGTTTCATAGGACGGGGAGAGAACCGAGTACTATTGTAACAAAATTTTTATCTCCTGGGTCGGCACTCATTGCTATCAAGTCTGCCCTTATCATCCGTAAATTATCGAGATGAGCCTTCACGTCTCCGCCGTCTGTGCATCACTCATCCTGAAGCTTCCGCCGCAGATCGACCGTGACCATTTTTGATTTCTTCTCATATTCATCCTTCACTTTCTCCCACATCTCTTTCGCCGTATCCGCCCCCTTAACCTTCAAGAAAAGCACATCCAGGATGACCGAAGCCAGGCCCTGTTTGATGATAGCCTGCTCCGACTTCCAGATCTGCCGTCGGGCCAAGTAGGTGTCGTTGGCTTTAACTTCTGCTGCCGTCGGTGCCGTAGTGTCGACAATATTTGGGGCCACCGGTGCAGCAGCGATGGGGTCGAAGTGATCGCTAAGACCCGCTGCATCCAGCGCGAACAGGAAGCGATCACGGAAGAACACCCAGTTTGTGCCATCGGCTTTGCAGGCAGGAAGCTTGGTGAAGTATTCACCAAGTTTGGCGGTCGAAGAGAATGTGTTGGTTGACATAGATGGGAAGTGAATGAAGTAAAAGTTTTGAAGTAGTGAAATTCGTTTGAGGTGTAAGCGTGGGGGCCAATAACCTGTAGAATTTTGTGTGGTAGAATGTAGAAGCGAAGGGAGAGAAGAATAAAATGATA